CATCTGCCATGTTTGCTAGTTTTAGAGGTGTACATAGTAGTAATTCAAATTGTCGAGTGCGATGAGGTAGCTAACTTCATACAACTCTCTCTCTCTCTCTCTGGCTGACAAAAAATATATTTATTTCCAGAATGCTTGGATTCACTTCATGGGAAATTTTTTTGTGGGGTGGGGTGGGGGTGGGGGGGATGAGGTGTTAAGGCCATGGCGCCAATGGAATGGGAGGAGAGATGAGGGTGGAAGAAAAGGAGCAAGGTTGGCAAGGAAAATATTTTGAAATGGGTATATATTCGTTGAGAACATAAACCTCTCAGGGTATTCATATGAACTGTAATCAAAGATATTTTGCATGCACTTCGAGTTATTTCTTACACTTTCTGAGCTAAATATACTAGCTGTGGAATATTGCCAAGACAAGACCTTCTTCCCTAGCCATCAGAACGTTTGTAGAAGACATGTTTTTAGCTGTAGTCGAACAGCAGCTGAATCACCAAAGCTCGGCGCCTTAGAGATGTGAACGCGGGGAAGAGTGTTGCAGTGGGTGGCTAGACATATGGCTTTGTTGACCAATCTGAAACTGCACAACCTTGAAGAGAGTACCTGCAAACAGCCCCGTGTTGGAGTCTGAGTTAAGATGGAATCATCATGAATTGGCTCTACCAGACTGGTACAGGTGTAACAGGGCTATGTGCATGTTTTGCACAGCTTGAATAATTGGATATCATAAGATGAGATGCGCTCGTCCACTGGCCATAGAAAAGAGTTCCAAAGCTTTGGTATATTGAACCAAGCAAACTCCAGAATTACTCGCCAAATCCTCGTATCCCCATGTAAACTGACATACAAGCGACCCTTCGTGTAACCTATCTTCCTTGTCTGAGGGCAGGACTAATCAGCAACCAAGAAAGAAAGGAATGGCAAAAATAAAACACAACAAAAACCAGGAACACAAGAATCGCAATGGGTGGGGCAGTTACATTAAATTTAGCGAGCCATGGATGGGAAAGGTAACTGTATAAACAAAAGCCAGGAACACAAGAATAATACCTAGCAGTATGGGAGGGAAAATCAAAAGGCGGAGTAGGCGGCAACGGCATCAAGGGAAAAAAACATAGTGATAGAGGATGATATGTACTGAATAAGTATATAGACATATAGCATTAGCCAGAACAGAGAAAAAAAAACAGGTTTTACAAATTTCAGTCGATCTATGATAGATGTATAAGCAACTGATCATTGCATAATTTCTGGTGCATCCATCCTTTCTGCACTTTTAAGGACCATGAGCCAGTTCATCATGAATTGGGTTGTTCTCATGTTGCCCACTGTTATAGGCAGATTTTAGAGATAAATTGTGATCCAAAATATCACACCCATTTCTAGAGAATACAAGCCATTCATCAAGTATCAAGTATTAGTTTAATAGCAATATGAGAGTCTTAAATCTGCGCATAGGCAAACCGCACAGAACATAACATGCGACAGTTTGCCTGACTTGAAAGATGAATGTGTTGCTGATGTAACATGAAAACGTGAGTTCTGTTAAAGAGACAGAAAAAGGTTAATGCCTTACCTGATACATGTTTCCAACAACGTCATCCAGCACACCTAGCTCTCGAGCAAATAATAATAATAATTCAAGTCATTTCCAGGGCCAGGGCTCACCTTGCACCGTCTTTCAAATGATGAAAAAACATAAACAATAATTACTATTAAGAGGAATCAGACAAAGTTAACTGAGTACAGAGTACTGAGGATAGTAATGGACACTCATATGAAATTTTTCATCCTTTACAGCCTAAGGAACACTATCCTGCAGTGGTTCTTCTTTTCCAGACCTGCGCCTACTGAGCAGAGACTTGAGGAATTTCTTGCTCTTCTTCAGAGTCTGCTCGCTTTCCTTGGAATCATCATTGTACCTATCAGCGTATGACCGCAGCGGCACCAATCTCTTGGGATCTGAAGCTGTCTGCATCTTCAGCAACATGTAATATTGTGTCAGCATTTGTAAGGCATATTATTCCTAGTAGTCTTGTGTTCACAAGCCAGCTTGATTTACCTGCACCCTAACACTTGATGTCTTGAGCAAGGATGACTTCTTTGAGAGTGACCCAGACCTTGTGAGTGGAGTTGTCGAATAAATTGGTGAATCCGATCTTTTATCTGTTAAACGGAAACAAGATTGACCATGGAACATTAGTATATTTAATTAATTGATAAATTTTAGCAGATTAGGATAACTCTGTAACCATTTCACGGAATTTCAAGTGTTGCGCACTCATATACCACCGTCGGCTATTGAACATTTGAACTTATCACTACTATACCTCTATTGGTGGGTATTGCAGTATCAGAAGGCGGCATGAAGCGCGGATGCTGTGCTGGAGAGGATGAACGTGCGCTCTGAGAAGGTGCTCGGGCAATCGACCGGAGCTTGCTGCAAATGATAATTGTTAGTTTGGCAGCTCAACTGCAAAGTAAGAAACCCAAGCTGATTTGTAGTTTGCAAACTGAAACTGACCGAAATGAAGCTTGCTTGTCTTTGCTTTTCGTTTGAGCTGCAGATGCTGCTGCTGCCAACACGTAGGCATTTCAGGTCGAAATCAAGTTTAAGATACCCAATACATGTCCACCATTTTTATGGATTGCAGATCCTTACCGCGGAAGGCCTGATGCATCTGTGTAGTCCTGCTCTTGACCTTATTCATCTCGCTGAAGTTGGGCACGGCATTGGGAACTGAGCCATCTCCTGCTGAAACCACTCAAGTAAGACATCAAGATGTCTCACCCAAGTTTGACCCTCATCCACTTTTCTTGCTTCTTGAATGTGCCGACAGGCTAGAATACAGAGCCACATGAAAGGCACAAAGGTATCTTACGGCCACTTACCTGGTAAGATGTACCTCTTGTGATACTTTGGAGCGGCGATCACCAAGGATTGCTGCGTCAGGCCTTCTCTGTTCACGCATGCTTGGATCGCTTGAGCTCTCTGAAACCAACCGCCTCGTTAATCCGAAGGCATATTGCAAGGAAATTACTGCTGAATGTAGGATGCACCAACAGAAACCTGCTGGATGCAGGAGACCCGCAGATTGGCTTCGGCCACCTCGTCGAACCTTTGATCGACAAGGCTGGAGACTTTGAAGGATATGGACCCTAGGTGATCTACGGTGTTGACGAGGGCCTTCACAGCATACTCCTTGAGGTTGGTCATCACCCTGTGCGCATATGCATATTCATGAAAAAAGAAAGAGCGAACCAGTCGCAGATGCGTGGAAGCTTGCTGATTAGCTACATCTACATGATATTGTGGAGCATGCAGGAGGAAGCAATGGGTATATGACGTACGCCTGCTTCCCGCCTTCCTGTGTGTAGGCTAGCTCGAAATACTCTGCTGCAGAATACAGTTGCGGCCGCAGAGCCTTGAGATCCTGCATAGAGAGAGAGAGAGATTGTTGCTGACGTGAAAATACCCAAGCAGAGTCCTAAGATTGTAGGGGAAGAGAAGAACACAGGTATAATTTGAAGGATAAACATACCTTGATTGTTTCAGAGAAGATGAATGCCTCCTCCATCTGCACCTCCTCCATGGTGCCGCCCCTTCGCCGGAGAGGCCCCGCTGCTTCCACCATTCCAACCAACCCTCAGTTTCGTTCCCTCTCTCAAGTCTTCTTTGATCAGGAAGCTGGATGATATTATATGGCGATGTTGGTGCAGAAGAGGAGAAGCACTCATGGTGATGAACTCAGCCAGCTGGGAGGAAGAAGGCCGCATGAGTTAAGGAGGAGGAGGAGGCGTGTCATTAGCACGATAGGTATTTGACTGAAGAATAGTTTATGGTGATGGCCTGGCAATGGCAGGAAAAGCTATATATAATAATGCCATTCATGGCAAGGCAAGGCAACAAACAGGAGACCCTTTTTTCTTCCTTATAGGCAATTAAGGCAACATGAGACCCTTTTTTAGGTAATTAGGGTGATAACAACTCTTCTACTCACTCTGCTGGATGTTGACTGCATATGCAGCATATTGACGGCAGATGGTCCTGCGTACTTACCTAGTTGTATTATCAACAAGTGTACATGTACCCATGAGGCTCTGGTCCATTCATCTAGAGCAAGGAGCAGTCAGCAAAGGGGTGCCAGGAGGGCAGGTACTGCAGAGTGGAGTGAAGTTGGTAGGGCTAGCCACTGATTTAATCACACCAGTGTCGAGGTGGTTAGCCAGTCAGTCAAGATGCTTTTTGGCTCACACTGTGCATGTAGGGCAAGCAAAAGAGAGAAGGCAGGGTGGGATCTGGTTGGGATGCTGGACCGGAGGCTTGTTTCCCTTCTTCTTTTTTCTGCTAGACGATACCCCACACGATTGTCGTGGAAATGTTCTGCAATATATTTCAATGAAACTTGTTTGTATGAAATATGAGTATTTGAAGTAATAATATTAAAACTAAGGCGTGTTTGATATTGTTGTAAAATATCTTCTCATTTCTTAAATATAAATACTCCTTCCAAACCATATTAATTGTCGCTAATTAGGTACTCCCTCCGTCACAGTTTAGAAGGCATAGTTAAATTTGCGTGCGTTTTTACAATAGACAAGGTTTAAGGCGCATTGCATTTATTTCTAGTAGCTAATTAGTACTCCGATAGTATTATTTCTATATGCATGCGCAGTGTGAATGCTATTTTTTAGCCTATCTCACAACCAATAGATAACCGTCTAGGTCTCAGAGAATTTTCAAGCGCGCCTTCTAAACTGTGACGGAGGGAGTATAAAATTATATTAAAATAGGGACAATTAATATGGATCGGAAGGAGTAAGATAATAAAATGAATGCGTGTTCTCGTGTTGAGAGAAATAAGCTTGCGTGAGCTAGTTATTTTGACACTAGTGTAGTGTCAAAAACACTTTTATATTATGGGACGGAGGGAGTAGAAGATGTATATGTTGTGAATGTATATGTTCATCATTTCTGCCGCATGAGTGTGGGCCCTCCTCATGAGTCACCATACGACACTGCTGGTCGCGTCATAATCACAAACTCCAAAAATACTCTTCTCAACAACAACCTCCCATACCTGCTCTGTGTGTGCACCCTACTAATATTAATTAATCTTTCGCCAAAATGTGTGCAGGTACCCACAAGATCCGGAAGAAGTGCTTTCCCGTACCAAGCATATAGATAGGCTCAACTCCAAGCAAGAAGGGCGGTGAATCATTACACATGGATTAACTACTAAAGTATTTCCTCTGCTTGGGACATCATTAGTTGGCTTGGTTTTTGCCTTGATCAAGCAAACTCAAAAGTGCTCTGTCCTCTATGTCTCTTTCTTTTTTTTTTGGCAAAAATGTCCTCCATGTCTTTCGCCCATCGGCCCATGGATAAAACTAGCTTGAATTATTGGACATCGTAAGATGAGATGCGCTTGTCCACTGGCCAGAGGAAGAAAGAGTTCCAAAGCTTGGTGTGGCTTTTTTTTTCCATGGACTTGTTTCTCTGCGGCAAATTGCAAAACTTCTTTGGTTTCTCATTCTTAATAAGTTTGAACTTACGAAATAGATAGGCAAGAACAGTATGTACGTTGAGTATATTTCCCTATGTTAGACTAATTATGCATCTATGAGATGCCATTAGCAGAATCTAATTGCATCTAAAGTTCTCTCATTTGTAGTCAGTCAAGATGGATAACGCTTCACTAGGGCTCCCCAGCCCTCGCGATCAGGGAGCGATCTCCACGCCGCCACCGCAGCCGGACGTCGCTCCGGCCAAGTGTGGCCCTCCCTCCGGCCCCCTGCCCACGCAGGATGCTGGAACAGCAGCGGCTTCGTCCGCCCTGCGATCACGCGGGCTTATAGTCATCGTCGATCATGCCATGTTCGAGATGGAAGGTGCCAATGGGTTTCCTGACTCCCCACGTTGGAGGGGGCTAGATTTTCTCGAACCCTTCTGCAAGGGAAAGCTGGATCGGACTCCCTTAATACCAAAGGCGGGGTTGCTGCGAAGACAGAAGTCGAGGGAGCCACCAGATCGATCTACGTGCGCTGCTACACCGCTGCCGCCTGAGCGAGTCATCAGCGAGAGGGCGGGGTCGTCAACGCATGGGGCGGGGAAAGCTATGCCAGCGACTATGGCGAACCTGGTGGTTGGTGGGGGCGATTATGGGGCTCCCTCTGCGGATGCCGCCCGCCCGAAGCCCTCCATCAGGGGATCTGCAGTAGCCACGGCTATGAAACCACGCATGCAGGACCTGATCATATGGAAGCGCAGAACAACGGAGACGCTGGAGGGGCAGCAGTCTCACGTACTTGGAGATGTTCGTGACCAGGACATGCTGGAGGTGTCAAACGACAAGGAGGTAGTCGGCCCAGGGGCCGCCGACGAACAGACGGGGCCGGCGGAGCCCCGTCAGGAGCAATGAATGTCTTAAGTTGTGATAGAGGCGGGGTGTCCCGATCTTTCGATGAGATGATAACTATCGATTTGGTGGAGCCGACTTTGACGATCCGACAACAAACATGCACGACGTTACGCCTTAGCAATCGCTAAACCAATCTCCCGAGGTTACTGACAATGCCGGAAGCACGATCAGCCTGACCACGAAGGTCTATTCCTGCACGCAATCGAAGAACAAGCAAGAATATGATAATGCAATCTGAATATTGCGAATATAGATGAAGTATTAATAATGATGGGGATCCGTAAGCGGTCTTGGTCTGGTCGTTTGACACAAACAAAGTACACGAAGTTGCAATGGCTAACTTTTAACTAAACAAATCCCAAGCAAAAAGCTACTAGATGGATCTACTTATATAGGAGCAAGGGGTGGCGGCCAAAGAGGTGGGAGAACGTCCCAAGGCAGCCTAAAACTAACCCTAGGTTGTACAAGGCCAATGGGCCCAAGTGGAGGTGATGTAACACCTTTGGACTTGTAGTTTGACTCGGATTCTGCTGCAGCATCAGATTGTTTCATCCATAACTCAACGCTCCGGACGAATTTGAAGGTGATTCCAATTGAGTTGGAAAGTGCACGAAATCTAGTTTCCAACAAAAAAGGAATCACCCAATTCGGAGTCCGTATGAAAAAGTTATTGGCGTTTTGAGTCAGGTATGTCTGTGCAGTCCGAATCTGAATCCAGAACGTGAGAGACTTGGACTCTATCTTCTCTCGGGCCAAAAGTGACGTGAGAGAACTTTTTGAACAGTAAATAAACATCTCTTTCTTCCTTATCTTCATATGTGGATTGTACAAATGTCCCATGCACCTGCAATTAGACAAAACACAAAAGTGTGTGAAGTATTTTTGTTCTGGATAACATAAATAGATTATTGAATAGTTTGCACTATAAATCACCTGACAAATATGCATATATGCAATATTTTTGGTCATATCCAAGGTAGTCATGTCCTCATCATCCTCCCCTTCTTGAAAATAAAGCAGTCCTCGGCGTTGCTTAATCTGAAATGTGGCTAACAAAAGAGACAAGGTGTACATGTTGTATATGTATACGTCATCCATTTTTACTTCCCTTGATTTTTGCATATATGACACATGAATAGATGAGTAACTTGCATAGTTCATAAAATCTAAAGCCCACAAATTAGCACAAGAACTAGAAGGCATGAAAATATTGCAACTCAGTTTGCACATATAAGTAAAGCTCTTATTTATTTCAAAAGATTGACAATGTTCATCATTAAACCATCCCAACATTGGTGAATAAACCTTATTTGAATCAAATTTACATGCTACAACATGCTTAGATAAGCAAACATGCAATGAGTCATTCGACACAGAATCATCACCAAGATTAGAGGTCATATTAAAATGATTAAACATTGATTCTTTTGCATCAACAGTTAATTCAATGGGTGCACTCAAAATTGTTGGTATTTCAGTTGTTTGATCACATGACGCATTCATGACAGTATCAAGATTCTCTAAAATAGGTGATGTGCTCAAATCACCAGGTAACTCAACACATGATGCATTCAAGTTAACTAGGGATGCATCATTCTCATGTGAAGTTATATCGTCAATACCTTTACTGTTACCTTGTCGCAAAGACGTAGCTGATGTAGGTACGGACGTTGACAATGCACCATACTCTTGAGATGATGTCGCGCTCACAATCCGAGGTGGGGCTGCTCTAGTAGGTGCAACGATGGAGGAACCAACCAGCGGTGGTGAGCATGAACTGGAATAATAGTTGTTGTAGTCACCCAATGCATCCTCCTGTAACTGTCTCTCAAAGATACAAGCACGAACATACATACCAGTAATGCAATGAGGAATATACTGAAATCTTGCCTGAATATCATGGTTCAAACCACCAAAAAATCTATTCATTGTATCATCCTCAGATTCTTCTATGTCACAATGATGCATATAAGATTTGAACTCTTGGTAGTAAGCATGCACACTGTTGTTGCCTTGTTTAAATTGTTCAAATTTGCGAAGCAATTCACGATGATAGTAAGGAGGGAAAAATTGTTGTCTCATTACATCTTTCAAATGTTTCCAAGTTGTGTGTTGGTTATCAATGTTTTTATTACAATGCACACTCCACCAAACAGAAGCAAAACCAGTAAATGCTCTAGTGGCAGCTCGTACTCTCTCAAGTTCAGAAAAGT